GCAGACGCACTCACGGTGTCCCACGGACGCTGTGGGAGTCGGAGGGACGAAGATCCGAAAGGTCTCTGCCTGGGGTCGAGTCGTAGCGGCACTCGCCAGCGTCTCTCGGACGCTGCGAGCGGCTGGGAGTCGGACCGGGCGGCTGAACGGCTGGAGGAGAACTCCTTAACGTTTGTCCGCCCCCTCCTCTTATGCCCTCGGAATCCAAAGATCCAGGGTCACGTGGTGTTATCCTGCGCGGCCAATCGGGCGCCTACCTTTCGATTTTAAACCGATGCCCCCGCCCCCTACCTGAAGCGTTGCTTCCCATTACGCCTCGATCCATTGTCTACTCCCACGTCCTCCCCACCCCGGACTCGACCGCTTTGATCGGGGTGGCCGTCCCGCGGAATACGCAGCTGCAGCGGGTCCAGGGATTTCTCTCCCACCTCCTCTTATGCGCTGCTCGCGTAATAACCCCCCCCCCCCCCCCTGGCCCCTTCCTATGAGTGTCTCATTGCGGTTACCCCGGTGAGCTTCGTCGCGCCCATACAATTTTAAGCCAATTCACGGAGGCCGCAATGCAATTTGGCCTGGGGGGGGGGGGGGGGGGTCGGCCAATCTCCTGGCACTGGGAAACCGTGGGACATCCCCACTAGGGGCCTCTCAGGTAAAAACCCATGGTACCAGGTGACCCCCCCCCACGAGACCCTACGTGGGTGCGTGTGTGTGTGTGTTAAGTGGGGGTGTGCGTGTGTGTTAAGTGGGGGTGTGCGTGCGTTCGTGTGGAGGGGTGCGAGGGGATGGCAGCGCCGGCGGAGTTACTTCGTTGCTGTGGCACCACATAGCCCCCCGAGGTGCCCGTCCCCATCCCGGGTTGACTGGAGCACCTCGCTTGAACCACTCCCACCAGGTAGCGCCGTGAAGTCCGCGGGACTCGCCCGGCTCTTGTTGCCGGTTTCGTGGGCGGTGGCTCCGTTCTCCGAGGCTCCTGCGGCGGTCTCCTCCACTCCAAAGGCTCCTCCCGTGCCTTGGCATCTGCGGGCTGGAGAACAAACTCAGGGGCAGAGGGGTTTAGGGGCCGCCGCCGCCCCCGCCGCCTCCTGGCCGGGCCGGGGTCTCCCGGGGGCTGGGGTCCTGCGGGGTCCATGTACGGTGCGAAGCACCCGAGTATGGGGGCGCGGGGATCCCGGGATTTCGGGGTACCCGAACGGCGGGGGTCTCTCTCGCCGGGGCTGCCCTCCAGAGTTTTAATCGGCGGAGGTTGACCACCGTCTCTCGGCCCCTCTCCCCGCCCTGGATCAGAACCGTCCAGGGGGAGATCTGCCGCACCACGGTCCAGGGTCCACGCCAGTAGGGGGTCAGCTTCTCCACCTGTCCAGCCCCTACGCGCGGGGTGTGGAGCCACACCTTAGAGCCCGCCGATTAGAAGGGGGGCTGCATTCGGGGTTGGGCGCCCTGCTTTTGCCGCTGATGTGCGGCCTCTCCCTGTTGGTAGGCCCGGCCACGGGCCCCCCGTAGGGTCCCCATCAGGTGCCCCATGGGCTGGCTCCCTTCCTCCGGCTGCGGCGGGGGAATGCCGAACAACAGATCTGTGGGCACGCGAGACTCACGACCAAACATCATTAGGAACGGGGTCTGTCCCGTAGATGGGTGTACTGTGGTGGTGTAGGCGAACAGGGCATCGGGGAGGTGTTTGTCCCAATCCTGTTGATTGGCTGCCGCCATACGTTTGAGCTTCCTGGCTAGGGTCTGGTTCATACGCTCCACCATACCATTCGCCTGGGGGTGGTATGCCGTAGTTCAGTCCTTCAGGATTCAGAACTCCAGCACAGCGCCTGAAAGAGCTCTGCCTCGAACTCACTACCCTGGTCAGTAATGACTCGTTCTGGGATCCCATGTTTAAGCACGTAGTGCTCCACAAATGCCCGGGCAACCACAAGGGCCGTTTTGTCGGGGTTGGCCACCGCCACTGGATAGCGCGTGAAATACTCCACCGCTACGAGGATATACCGGTTGCCTCGGTGGGATCATGGAAATGGCCCCTGTAGGTTGATCCCAACTAGCTGGTTCGCCGGCTGACGCGGAACGGCCTCAGGGGCACCTGATACCGTGCCGATTCTGCCCACACTGCTGGCAAGCGTGGCAGCCCTGTACCAAGGCGGCCACGTTCAACTTTCGGTAATGAACACAAAACCGGGTTGACCCATCCTTCTTCGTCACCAGTACAACAGGGGCAGACCAGGGGCTCGCTGAGGGCTGGATTATGTTATCGCGGAGCATATCCACGACTGCCTCTTTAATCCGTTCAGGTGCGCCCAGTCGGTATGCGGGGAGTTTAATGGGTCGGGCGGCACCTGTGTCAATGTGGTGCTTAACGAGGTCTGTCCAGCACACATCCGAATCGTGCTGACTGAACACGTCGGCGTACTCCCGAAATAACCCACGCAGCTGATCGGCCTCCCCCTTGGGTAAATCTGCCCAGGGTTCGTGTGTTGTGGCGTAAATGATGACTCGGAGGCAGATCTTCGTGTAAGGGCTTGCGCCAGTTTTATTCAGGGCTTACGCCAGTTGCTTGATTAAAGACCTCTCTTTGCACACGACTCCGTATACTGTACACTCACTGCCTACACCCCACACCCCAGGGGAAGGGTACTGGGGATTCCCTAGCACCCGCAGGCTACCCTAGCCTGGTGCCAATTTCCCCCTACCCTGGGTCCCGACTGAGCAGTACACGTTCCCGGATTCTCCAGACGACCCTGAACCCGTAACGGGTTCTGGCTTAAATCCCCCAGGGGGACATGACGTCACCGTCCCGCCCCTGTGCATGACGTCACCATCCGTGACGTCATCGTACCAGAGGGCGAGCGTGACGTGACGTCACTAACTCCTACTCTACACATGTAACGCATCAAGCAGTGGGACGACCTCTGCCCTGGGAGTCGGGCTGACTCGCCAGGCCAGGTCCTGGTTGTCCTCGGGGTGGCAGGGGTCCTCAGCCCAGAGGGAGAACACCGAGTCGTTAAGAGTGGCATGCGTGCAGGGGGTGTACTGTGGCTACCGTGGTGCACTGTCGCAGCATTGCTGGGGTACTGTGGGGGTTAAACACCCGCATAAACAGTCGTCCCCCATCCGCGTTTACCAGCGTGGCCGATCACACAACCCCGTACCGTGCCGCCAATTCCGGGCGAGGAGTCAGCATTACCTCACCCGTTGGTCGGTGGGCGGGGTCGGTGGAGGGTGTTGCCACTGGCACCAGCATCTCCGCGAGTGGCCCGATGGTGACGGCCGACACCAGCGTAGCGGCCACGGGTGTGAAGCCGGGGCGATCCGGCTCCTGTCCCAGGAACGGAATCCGCTCCCCGCTGCCCTCCACGGTGGCGCATCGCTGGCGGGGCTGTACATTGAGCCCCAACTTTTCCAGGAGGTCGGTACCTCATGGCACAACACACTTGAGACGTAGAACTCTTGGTCACACACCTGGCGTCCGAGACGGACCTCCAGGGTGACCCTCCCCAGCAGTCCCATCCCGGCCCCACTTGCCGTGTGCAGCGCGTGGTCCGGGGCCTGTAGGCGGCCCACGTCAACCCCGAGCACGTTGCAGTGTGCCGCGCTCACGAGCGAGGCTACCGCTCCCGTGTCCACCAGAATCCGGGTACGTCGCCCGTTTAGCTGCCCTTTCACCAGCATCGTGGCCCCCGTGATTCCCGCCAGCAGCTCCCGCAGCCAGTCACCCGCAGTCGCCGTGTTCTTGGGTGTTGTTGTCGGCATCTGCGTGGAGGTCACTCGCTCACCATTATTATTATCGCCTATTTGTGTTGGGACCGTGTCGATTGCACCCCCAGTTGGTCCACTCTCTAGGGGGCGTTGGTGTTTAATCCTGGCGCATGTCTAGCGCGGGCGATCTGAGGAGAGTCTCTCACGAGATGCCCCCGATGGTCGCACAGGTTACATGCCCGGGGAAGGGTGGCGGCTCCGTAGGAGGCCCCCTGCCCACTCCCTCTTCGCTCCCCAGTACGCAGCTGCCCAAACTCTGACTCTAATCGGGACACCTGCCCGGCTAGCCCCCTACCGTGGAGCGTAGTCCTCCCACCTCGGACTGGATTGTCTCCACTGTAGCCTGTAGCTTGGTCACATGCCCGCGTACGTGGGTCATTTCCTCGCCTACGTGGGTCACTCGGCCTGCTAATTCTCCTATGCCGGTCTGTAACCCGGCTAACCACCCCGGGGCTGTCTCACGGGGTCCCGGGGGCTCCCTTGCCAGCGCCCTTACCGTCCTGGCAAGCTCCTCCTTTTCCTCCTCTGAAAGGAGGCTGGCGATGGCGCGCTCCCATCCCAACCCTCGGACTGTGCGCCCTCATGAGCGAGTCTCTCACATGCACGCGCGCGCTCAACAAGAGTGTTAAAGGGGAGGCGCGTGCGGCTCACATCGGACTGCCACCACGAGGTGCCAGCCAAATATTGCTGGACCTACGCATCTCACCTTAGCTTGGAGTGAAGCGCCTCTCTCCCTTGGAGGTGTGGGGGATCGTCCCACTTCTGACACCATTATGTGGGGGCTAATGCCACCCTCCTCCTCTCCCCCTTTGACCTCCTCCCCTTCGCGCCGGGCTGCCGCCGATCGAGTCATCGGCCTCCCCGCACCACCAGCGTCCTCTCTGTGGGACATGGCTCGTTGCTGGCTCTCCACCGCCTCGCGTTATTCTGCCTCCCACCCCCCCACGTAAACCACCACTCGCGCTGTGGGGGCTGCGGGCGGCGCACAACCGAACCTGCTGATCACCACGTGCACGCGCTAAAAATAACGCGGCTGCTGTGCAAGCGCTGGCGCAGGTAATGAGTTACTGCGCAGTCTCACTCGCCCCCAACACTCTAATTACTAGGTAATGACTTGCTAAGACACACAGCCTCACTCGCCCCCAACACTGTAATTACTGGGTAGTGACTTACTAAGACACACAGCCTCACTCACCCCCACACTCAAATTACTAGGTAATGACTTATCAAGTCCCTCAGTCTCACTCGCCCCCACGCTCTAATTACTAGGTAATGACTTACTAAGTCACTCAGTCTCACTCGCCCCCAACACTCTAATTACTAGGTAATGACTTACTAAGACACACAGCCTCACTCGCCCCCACGCTCTAATTACTAGGTAATGACTTACTAAGTCACTCAGTCTCACTCGCCCCCACGCTCTAATTACTAGGTAATGACTTACTAAGTCACTCAGCCTCACTCACCCCCACACTCTAATTACTAGGTAATGACTTACTAAGACACTCAGTCTCACTCGCCCCCAACACTCTAATTACTAGGTAATGACTTACTAAGTCACTCAGCCTCACTCACCCCCACGCTCTAATTACTAGGTAATGACTTACTAAGACAGCCTCACTCGCCCCCACGCTCTAATTACTAGGTAATGACTTATCAAGTCCCTCAGTCTCACTCGCCCCCACGCTCTAATTACTAGGTAATGACTTACTAAGACACTCAGCCTCACTCGCACCCACACTCTAATTACTAGGTAATGACTTACTAAGACACTCAGCCTCACTCGCCCCAACACTCTAATTACTAGGTAATGACTTACTAAGACACTCAGCCTCACTCACGCTGACGAGTGAGTGAGGCTTAGTAAGTTATTACCTAGTAATTAGAGTGTGGGTACACTCTAATTACTAGGTAATAACTTACTAAGACACAGAATCACTCGCCCCCACACTCTAATTACTAGGTAATGACTTACTAAGACACTCAGCCTCACTCACACCCACACTCTAATTACTAGGTAATGACTTACTAAGTCACTCAGCCTCACTCACCCACACTCTAATTACTAGGTAATGACTTACTAAGACACACAGCCTCAATCCCCCACACTAATTACTAGGTAATGACTTACTAAGACACTCAGTCTCACTCGCACCCACACTCTAATTACTAGGTAATTACTTACTAAGACACTCAGCCTCACTCGCACCCACACACTAATTACTAGGTAATGACTTACTAAGTCACTCAGTCTCACTCGCCCCCAACACTCTAATTACTAGGTAATGACTTACTAAGGCACTCAGTCTCACTCACCCCCACGCTCTAATTACTAGGTAATGACTTACTAAGACACTCAGCCTCACTCACACCCATACTCTAATTACTAGGTAATGACTTACTAAGACATTCAGTCTCACTCGTTCCCACGCTCTAATTACTAGGTAATGACTTACTAAGACACTCAGCCTCACTCACCCCCACGCTCTAATTACTAGGTAATGACTTACTAAGACAGCCTCACTCGCCCCCACGCTCTAATTACTAGGTAATGACTTACTTAGTCACTCAGCCTCACTCACACCCACACTCTAATTACTAGGTAATGTCTTACTAAGACACTCAGCCTCACTCGCCTCCACACTCTAATTACTAGGTAATGACTTACTAAGACACTCAGCCTCACTCACACCCACACTCTAATTACTAGGTAATGACTTACTAAGACACTCAGCCTCACTCACCCCCACGCTCTAATTACTAGGTAATGACTTACTAAGACACACAGTCTCACTCACACCCACACTCTAATTACTAGGTAATGACTTACTAAGTCACTCAGCCTCACTCGCCCCCACGCTCTAATAACTAGGTAATGACTTACTAAGACACGCAGCCTCACTCGCCCCCACGCTCTAATTACTAGGTAATGACTTACTAAGTCACTCAGCCTCACTCACACCCACACTCTAATTACTAGGTAATGACTTACTAAGACACTCAGCCTCACTCACACCCACACTCTAATTACTAGGTAATGACTTACTAAGACACTCAGTCTCACTCACCCCCAACACTCTAATTACTGGGTAGTGACTTACTAAGACACTCAGCCTCACTCACCCCCACACTCTAATTACTAGGTAATGACTTACTAAGACACACAGTCTCACTCGCCCCAACACTCTAATTACTAGGTAATGACTTACTAAGACACTCAGCCTCACTCGCCCCCACGCTAATTACTAGGTAATGACTTACTAAGACACTCAGCCTCACTCACACCCACACTCTAATTACTAGGTAATGACTTACTAAGACACTCAGCCTCACTCACACCCACACGCTAATTACTAGGTAATGACTTACTAAGACACTCAGCCTCACTCACCCACACTCTAATAACTAGGTAATGACTTACTAAGACACTCAGCCTCACGCACCCACACTCTAATTACTAGGTAATGACTTACTAAGACACTCAGTCTCACTCACACCCACACGCTAATTACTAGGTAATGACTTACTAAGTCACTCAGTCTCACTCACACCCACACTCTAATTACTAGGTAATGACTTACTAAGACACTCAGCCTCACTCACGCTGACGAGTGAGTGAGGCTTAGTAAGTTATTACCTAGTAATTAGAGTGTGGGTACACTCTAATTACTAGGTAATGACTTACTAAGACACTCAGTCTCACTCGCCCCCACACTCTATTACTAGGTAATGACTTACTAAGACACTCAGCCTCACTCACACCCACACTCTAATTACTAGGTAATGACTTACTAAGACACTCAGTCTCACTCGCACCCACACTCTAATTACTAGGTAATGACTTACTAAGACACTCAACCTCACTCACACCCACACTCTAATTACTAGGTAATGACTTACTAAGTCACTCAGCCTCACTCTCCCCCACACTCTAATTACTAGGTAATGACTTACTAAGTCACTCAGCCTCACTCACCCACACTCTAATTACTAGGTAATGACTTACTAAGACACTCAGTGTCACTCACACCCACACTCTAATTACTAGGTAATGACTTACTAAGACACTCAGTCTCACTCGCCCCCACGCTCTAATTACTAGGTAATGACTTACTAAGACACTCAGTCTCACTCGCCCCCAACACTCTAATTACTAGGTAATGACTTACTAAGACACTCAGCCTCACTCACCCCCACAATCTAATTACTAGGTAATGACTTACTAAGACACTCAGCCTCACTCACCCACACTCTAATTACTAGGTAATGACTTACTAAGACACTCAGTGTCACTCACACCCACACTCTAATTACTAGGTAATGACTTACTAAGACACTCAGTCTCACTCACACCCACACTCTAATTACTAGGTAATGACTTACTAAGACACTCAGCCTCACTCGCCCCCACACTCTAATTACTAGGTAATGACTTACTAAGACACTCAGCCTCACTCGCCCCAACACTCTAATTACTAGGTAATGACTTACTAAGACACTCAGCCTCACTCGCCCCCACACTCTAATTACTAGGTAATGACTTACTAAGACACTCAGCCTCACTCGCCCCAACACTCTAATTACTAGGTAATGACTTACTAAGACACTCAGCCTCACTCGCCCCAACACTCTAATTACTAGGTAATATTCGTGCGTCACACTGTGGAGCGTTACCGTCTCTCTGCGGACACACTGCGTGAAGCACGCCCGCCACGTACGCAAGCATCACGGGTGCAACGGTGAATTAACGATGATGGTAGGATCCGCGCGTTAATCTTCGGTGCAAGCACAGTTGACGGCGGGATACGCGCGCTAATCCCCAGCACCACGGCGAACTAGTGATGACAATACTCGCGCGTTCATTCGCTGCTCGCACCTGCACGCGAACGTCCGTGATCGTTTATGGTTGAATACGCGCCGATCATCACACTTATGCACGTACCCACACCACGTCCACGCTCTCTCCACACCCACAGAAATCACGCGGCGTCGTTGTTCTACGCTAAAGTTCATTACCGGCGCGACTGCAAGAAAACCAATTCTAGATTTAAAGCTTTCGTGACTGCTAGGATCCATACTCTTTGGTTCTATTGGGTAAAGTCACGTAGGTGAAAATAAAATAACAAAAAATCACGACGTTTCAGCCACAACACAAGCGGCCTTCATCAGGTGAAGGGACGAGACTGCCTGGAGGACAGCGCTGTAGTGGAAGAAGCCACGCTTAGATCACGACGCTTAGATCACGACCAAAAAAAATGTCGTGATCTAAGCGTGGCCTCTTCCACTCCAGCGCTGTCCTCCAGACAGTCTCGTCCCTTCACCTTGATGAAGGCCGCTTGTGTTGTGGCCGAAACGTCGTGATTTTTTGTTATTTTATTTTCACCTACGTGACTTTACCCAATAGAACCAAAGAGTATGCAAGAAAACCCTCCGTGGCCCGGAGCCAAAACCATCCAGCGAGCAGCGTCCCGCCGAGCTGTACCCAACCCTCCTCACCTATCCCTAACTAAGCCCGCTGGGAGCTCTCACACTATCCCTCAACCCTCTAACGTACTCACGATTTCTCACGGACGGGCTGGGAGTCGGAGGGACGAGGGTCCACGAGGTCCCTGCATGGGTTGTGTCCTAGCCGCGCTCGTCAGCGTCACTCGGACGCTTGTGCGGCCGGAAGGCTGACTGCGTCGCTCGCGGACTTCAGGAGAAGTGCCTTAACCCTTTTCTCTCTCCCTCCCTAGTTACCTCCCTATTCAAAAACTCTTGGCCAAGTTCTGTTACCCTCCCGGCCAATCGGGCACCTCCCTGTGTGTCCCAGCCTCATCCCTGATCGACGCAGCCAATCGGGCACTTGCCCGTGCCCCCCCCCCCCTCCCCATGGAGAGCCCCTAATGCTGCCGTTGCCCAGCTCTGTTTTATTGCTCCCTCACCCATTGCCTACGTGCTCTCCTGTCGTGTGGCCCAGGCTCAGGAACTTCCCTCCGATATCCCGGTGGTTGCTTCGCTCCCGGTGCTCGCCGGGGGTCCTGCGCACCTCATGCCCCCTACCCCCCCTGTGCGGGGTTCTCACTGCGGGGTGCCCCTCGAGGGCACGGGGCCGCTGCGGCAATTCGGCCTGGTTGGGAATCGGCAAACTTCCTGGCTCTGGGAGACCGTGAAACATCCCAAAGAGGGGGGCTCTCGGGTGAAAACCCAGGGTGCCGAGTGACCCCCCCAACGAGGCCCTACGTGGGGGTATGTGTGTGTTTAGTGTGTGTATGTGTGTGTGTTTAGTGTGTGTGGCAAAACAACCCCCTACCTCCTCGCGGTGTCGGACGGGCAACTCTGTCGTGGACAGTGCTGTCGGGGGAGGGCCAATTCCGATTGGCTCCTCCCCTCATGGCGTCTGTGTCCACCACAGGGGCTAAACGGGGGCTCTGGAAGGGTGCGAGGGGCTGGTAACCCCTCCACCTTCAATTAATTACCACTAAACCACGAGTTAAACTGAAATATCTAACTAATAAGCTTGTGCCGGAGGCCCCGGGGGGATAGGCGTCTATGACGTCTCCTGGCCAAACCCCAATTGGCGGAGCCAGGAGATTGAATCTCTACCCTCGGGGCTCCTCCAGAAACAACGAAAAGCCACTACGGATGGCCACGTGGAATGTTCGAATGCTCACTGCGGAGGAGAGGCTGCCACTCCTCTGTCGGGAGCTGGACCGGTACCGCCTGGATCTCTATGGCATTCAGGAGGTCTGGTGGACCGGTTCTGGCTCCTGCCACCATGAGGGGTGGACAGTCCTCTACTCGGGGCAGCAGACTGCCAAACAACAGGGTGTGGCTCTTCTTTTGAACAAAAGAATGAAGGGGGCGTGGGAGCATGGGGTTGAGGTGTGGGAAGCTGTAAGCCCCAGGCTACTTTGGGCTCGCCTTCCCATCAACCGGAGGCGAGGAGTGGTGGTCGTGGTTACTTATGCCCCCACCGAAGACGAACATCCGTGGAGGGATGCAGGCAAAGCCGCTGAGTCAGATGCCTTCTATGACCTCCTGTCACAGGTGCTGGCTAAAGTGGCATCTCGGGATAGCGTCATCATGTTGGGTGACTTCAATGCCCGAGTTGGTCATGATGCTGGCACCTGGTCTGGAATGATTGGAGGGCATGGGCCAGATCAGCTCAATAACAACGGTAGGAGGCTGCTAGATTTTTGTGCAGCCCATGGGCTTGTAATTACCAACACGCTCTTCCAGCATCGGCGCATCCACACAACACCATGGATGCATGCCGGGTCCAAGCAAGAACATCTGCTGGACTACATAGTGACGGACCAGCGGATGCGAGCCCATGTCCTTGACACCAGGACCTACTGTGGAGCTGATCTGCCCTCTGACCATCGACTACCATTCTTCCACTTTGGTGGTGGGTGTACACCCAGGACCCCATTCCAACCTAAAGTGGCCTGGTCTCAGTTATCTGATGAAAGTTGCAAGCGAGAATTTCATCATCGCTTGCGGCTGGGATTGGCATCGTCCCCCACTCCTCCTGATGTCGAGGGTAAATGGGCGAGGTTTAGGACTGTGACTCATGCAGCTGCAATGGCTGCTTTGGGTACGCGGTCCAGACCTCCTCAGAGACCCTGGCTGACAGAGGAGGTGTTCAGGATGGTTGAAAAAAAGCGACAGGCCCACTGTCATCGGCTACAGAATCCCACGTCAGAGAATGAGGAGGCTTACCGCAGCCTTTGCTCGGAGGTTTGGAGAGCCGTGAGGCGCTGCAAGGATGGGTGGTGGTCGCGGGTTGCTGAGGAGATGGAGTCTGCCTCAGTGGCCCGCGATCACAAATCTCTATTTAACTCCATCAAAAAAGTAACCTGCAGCACCACACCTATTACCATCATTAGGGGAAAAAACGGTGATCCAATCTCCGACCCCCAGGAACAGGTTTGCAGATTTGCTGAGCATTTCTGTGATGTCCTGGGGGAGGGAAAATCACTCAGCCAGGAAAACATCGTGACACAAAGTGAGGATGACCCTGCTGAGGCTGCGGTGCCTCAAATATTGGAAGAAGTCACCCCCTGTGAGTGGCTGGCTGAAGTACCATCTGTTGAGGAAGTACTGAAGGCGATCCGGAGTCTGAGACCAGGAAAGGCAGCGGGCAGAGATGATCTCCCAAGCGAAATGCTGAGGGAGGGTGGCGTTTGTGCACAGACTGCCCTATATGACATCATAAGAACAGTCTGGACCACTGGACGGGTTCCGCAGGATTGGAAGGATGACCTGGTGGTCCCCCTCTTTAAGAAGGGGGACCGCACAGACTGTAACAACTACAGGGGCATCTCACTCCCCAGTGTGCCGGGCAAGGTCCTGCCAAGGATGATTCAACATCGCCTTGCCAGGCACGCTGAGGAGAGGCTTGCGGAGCCCCAATGCGGTTTCAGGAAAGGGCGGTCCTGCACAGATGCCATATTTTCTGTCCGTCTGCTACAGCAGAGGTGTAGGAAATTCCAACAAGACCTACATCTCTGCTTTATTGACCTGGTCAAGGCCTATGATACCATCAGTAGGCCTGGGCTCTGGGTTGTTCTTCGTGCTTTTGAAGTCCCTGACCCTCTGCTCACGATCATTAAGGACCTTCATGATGGTGAGCGGGCCCGGGTAAAACTACGTGGCCGGGAGTCAGAGCCATTCCCTGTACACCTTGGGGTGCGACAGGGATGTCCTCTGGCTCCCACATTATTTAACATCTATTTTGACCACGTAGTTCGTGAAGCCTTCAATAGCTGTACCGGGGGAATCTCCATTTGGTACAGATATAATGGAGGCTGATCGATGCCCGGGTGCGGTAAGGGATGGCTCCCTATTGCTCAAGCACGTTATGTATGCCGTTGATTTGGTAATAGCTGCTCATTCAGAGGAGGAGTTGGAGACGCTGCTGCTGAGACTGGAGCGTGCCACTAAGAGATGGGGCCTTACCATCAGCTCCACCAAAACTAAGCACCTGCCTGGGTATTTTGTACCATCGGACACTCCACCCCCACAACTCCCAATCGGTGATGGGGCAGTTGTGGAGAGAGTGGAGAGTTTCCCATACCTGGGCAGTGTGCTTATGACCAGCTCCAGTTTAACAGCAGAGGTCTCACTCCGAATCAGTCGAGCGGCAATATCTTTTCATCGGTTGCGTAACGCTGTGTGGAAGCTACCTGGTCTGTCGCTCCGCACTAAGCTTCAGGTCTTCTCGGCCACGGTCATTCCCTCCCTTCTCTACACTTGCGAAACGTGGACCCCCTTAATGGAGCATCTTCGCTGGTTGGAAACATTTAGGTTGGCCTGCCTACGATCCATCCTGGGTTTAACCAGGCTGGATTGTGTGAGGAGCTCACAAATCCTTGAGAGATCTGGGCAAGGTCCCATCGGTGAGCTCCTCCAGCAGGCAAGGCTGCGTTGGCTGGGTCATGTAGCCCGCATGCCCAGCCACCGCATGCCGAAACAGCTTTTGTTCGGCCGGATCAAAGAGGCTAAACGGGCGCGGAACGGGCTAGAGAAGGGATGGAGTGATGTGGTACAGGAGGACGTGGAGTTGAGTGGACTTGCCGATGACTGGTACCAGCGGTGTCAAGATCGGCCTCTGTGGAGGAGGCTTGTGAAGGACGCTATTGGGCAGTTGGAGGC